ATAATAGTATTAAAGATTTCAAGATTTGGATTGATGGACATTTGTTGAAATCTAAAAATATGAATTATAAATCTATACGTAGATTTATACTATAATGTATGTGTTATGAAATGTGACCTCTAAGGCCGGGCATGGAGGGTCACGCCTGTAATCCTAGCACTCTGGGAGGCCAAGGTGGGAGGACTCCTTGAGCTCAGGAGTTCAACACCAGCCTGGGCAAGAGCAAGACCCCATCTCTACAAAAAATGGAAAAATTAGCCAGTGCAGTGGCGTGTGCCCTGAAGTCCCAGCTACTCGGGAGGCTGAGGCAGGAGGATCACTGGAGCCCAGGAGTTTGAGGTTGCAGCGAGCTATGATGACGCCACTGCACTCTAGCCCAGGTGATGGAGCAAGAGCCTTTCTCAAAAAAAAAAGAAATTTGACCTCTGCCAACCAAATGATATTTGTAGCCTTTACTATTAAATGTAAACAGCTGTGGGAAAGGTGGATCTTTAGGCTGCTGCAGCTTCAGGCTATAGTACTACCACAATAAGAAAAAGTAACATTCCTTTAGCTAGAGGCTCCCCTGGTAGAATTATGGATGTCCCTGTTGCCCAAACCGTTATTGTCACCAGCAGGGGCCCTCAGCAGTTTAAATATGCTTCTGTTGTCACTGTCACTAGGTTTAGCCGGTCTTTCCATTCATTTAGCAAGAATTTATTAAGCATCTATTGGTGGCAGGTGCCATGTTGGCTCTGGAGACACCAGAGTAAAGAAAAACAGACCCTGCATGCAGAGAGTCTGCAGTCCACTAATGGAGGACAAGCATCTTCCCCTTGGACCATGACAAGGTCCCCTCCCCAGATCTCAGTCCCAGTCACAGCCAGAGGGCCAGATGCCCTGAGGAGGCTGGAACCTGGTTTGGGCCAGTACCTTTTCAAAGGGATTAAGCTCTCTTTCCTCTTTCTCTCCAGAGGCTGGAAACATCTCCCCTCCAGCAAAGTAGTCATCTTAAAGCCACCTCGACCTCCTGTTAATTCCTGCTGCTTCTCCAACCCTTCTCACTGCCCTCTAGTTGTTTTAATTCAGTTCCGGGGATCCGTGACACATCCAGACACACAGAAGAGCCCTAAATTTCCACAAGCGGTATAGGCTTCCCAGGTACGTAAAGTCCCAGCCTTGATGGAAGGGGTTGTAGGGTTCTAACCTTTGTGCAAGTTCCTGACTTCGTAAATTGAAAACAAACAGCACTCTGGTTGCCTCCTTTTTAGAAAATAACCTTAACTCTTGTGGAATTTTTATGGAAATTTCATATGGAAGGAAGATCATTTCATTAAAGAGATAATTTAAATATTAACTTTGAGAGCATATTTGTCTAAGTTAAGGGCTTTTCTTACATAATAACATGATTCTCACTGGAAGAGGTGTTTGTTCACTGTACGTTAAGACTCCAAGAGGCTTTGACCAAGTTGAAGGCTACAGAATAACATCTTAAATTTTATC